ATAAAAACTTTTTTTTTTTTCCTCCCTTTCCTCCTGTTTTCCAGGGGTGGGATGAAAGAAATCGGATGCCCTCTGATTTCACGAAATAAAATTCCCTAAATGAAATCCTTTTTTTTTTTTTAAATTGCGTGTGCGTTTTTTGCGTAATGATTGGTTTCTTTTGTTGTTGTTGTTGTTATTGTTGTTGCTGTTTTTGTTATTGTTGTTGTTTTGTTATTGTTGTTGTTGTTATTGGTGTTGTTGTTTTGTTATTGTTGTTGTTTTGTTATTGTTGTTGTTTTGTTATTGTTTTGTTATTGTTGTTGTTGTTGTTGTTTTTGTTGTTGTTATTGTTGTTGTTGTTTTTTTTTGTTTGTTTTTTTTGTCGTTGTTATTGTTGTTTTTCTTGTTGTTGTTGTTCTTTTCTGAAAGAGTTGGTGCATTAGATCTGCGGCGTAAAAACGTGTGGGCCATTAGGATATTCACATGACGTAAAACATTCACAAATGCATAGAAGAGATGTATACGGGGGGGGGAAAAAATTCCAGTGTTTTTTTTTTAATTGAATAGTGTCGCGAAGTTTTATTTTTATTTTTAAATATTTTTTTTTAAAATGCATGTGTGTTTAAATATCAGCCACAGCGTGGATGACTGCCATTACAATCCGTCATCGACGTCTTTTTTAAAAGAACTACTTCCCAGCAAGTGGTGGTTCATGACATTCGCACAAATCCCCCCCAATCTGCAGTCTGCAAAAGACCTTGCACATCACCTCGAGCCTGAACTCTTCCTCTTTTGGAGTTGTCGTTGTTTGCGGCCTCTCGCTTGTCATTGGACTCTCTGGGTTGGGGGGAAAAAAAAAAAAAGTAAATAAGAAAAGGAGTAAAATAAAGTCCAACCAATCAAGTCTGAGATATTTGGACATTTAAGAGGAAAAAAGGCGGGGCTGGGATGGTTTTAGAGTGGGGGTGGGGGATTGTTGACAAGGTAAGCTAGTGGTCGTCATTTCTCCAGCCTTGGCTAGAGACGATATGACCACCTCTTGGCTTAGGTTGGAGACGATATTAACACCCCTTGGCTTAGGCTAGAGATGATCTGACCACCTCTTGGCTTAGGCTAGAGACGATATGAACACCCCTTGGCTTAGGCTAGAGATAATATTAACACCTTTTGGCTTAGGCTTGAGACGATACAAACACCTCTTGGCTTGGGCTAGAGACGATCTGACCACCTCTTGGCTTAGGCTAGAGATGAGCGAACCACCTCTTGGCTTAGGCTAGTGAAGGTTCAGACCAGAGCTGATGTTATCAGTGGGGGAAAAAACAAAAGTCCAAATTGACTCTGTTCATGGAGATGCCGGATTCCTAAAAGTCCTCAGCCCTGTGCTTAAAGACCCCCTTGGTTTACTCATGCAGCCTTGCTAATGTTTTAACCCAGAAGGATGACCAACAAACCAATTCAGCGGACGACTTACTGCAGTCTTCCAAACAACGACCACCGCCACTTGATCCCCGACGGCACTTGTCCAGGCAGTCATCAAACACTGAGGGGCCCTCGGCTCTCCATACGAAGGTCAAGGCACAAATCAGAAGAAGAAAAAGCATTTCTGAGCTTTGGTTGTGCAAGGATTAAATCATAGGTGTTCGCCCTAAGAGTTGTAAGACAAAGAATATCCAACAAAACAAACAATGTCATGTCATGATGAGCGCACCAAGGGTTAATAAATCACTTTGACCTATCAAATTAACCACAAATGAAAGTTCAACGATTGTAGAAGTGAAACGAACAAATTACTTTTCGACGCAGGTTAACAAACCCTTAATAATATTTATTAACTTACATTAAAATTTGATATCATTTCATAGAATCAGAGGCGTAGCGCGGGAGGTGCAGAAGGGGGACAGATGTCCCCGGGCGCAAGCTAGTTAGGGGCGCCAAAATGTGCTTTGATATTATATTATTGGTAAAAATAATGGGTTTGAGAGTTGAAAAAAAAAGAAAAAAGGGGGCGCTTTAAAATGGATCTTGTCCCCGGGCGCGAATCTTGTCCCCGGGCGCCAAACACCCTCGCTACGCCTCTGCATAGAATTAAGATGGGATATTATTTTATTACGCTTTAAGCATCAACATCACTCTATGACCTAGAGTTAATGTTGTATTCAACAAAACTTTTGGTCTACCTATGAGAAGAAAGTATTTAAGAAGAAAGTACAAATTTATGAGAAGAAATTATAAACTTATTAGAAGAAAGAACATACTTATGAGAAGAAAGTACACACGAATTAGAAGAAAGTATATACTTATAAAAAGAAAGTACATACTTTTGAGAAGAACGTATACTATATTTCTGAGAAGAAAGTGCATGCTCATGAAAAGAAAGTACACATTTATTAGAAGAAAGTAGATACTTATGAGCAGATAGTACATGGAAAAACAAATATTTTTTTAAAAAGATAACATTGTTTTAGATGAGAGTTTTTTTCCCCCTCATTCTATTTTTTTTAAAGAAATTAATAACCAAGTCACCTTGGCATTCGTTTGTTGTAAGATCACGTGGCACTCCAGCTAAACATATTTACACCAAGTACAGTAAACCAAAGGGAAGCAATGACAACTTCATTCATCCTGAACAGTTGCAACGTCTTGGCGAGCTGTTTATAAAGTTATTTGAATTTCTGCTACAGACGCCATTTTAAGTCACGTGAAGTTCTCATCAAATTTTAGCCAATCAGATGCAAAGGTCGCCAACGGCCCCTTTTAACCCCAGCCGAATAAACGTTTGTTACAAATAAAATTACGACGAGAAGTAAAAAAATTAAAGTTTTTTTTTTTTTTTTTAACTGTTCATATGCTGAACAATATCCCTGAGAGAACTAATGATATTAATTCAAATACTGTATGTGATATTATTTTTTTTCTTAAATCTCAAACTAAATAAAAACACAAAAGACTGACCTTATAATACGTGACCGCACGTATAGCCAACGGTAACTAGAATCCTGAGTTTCTCCCTAAACACTGAAGTACATTGTAACCTTTCACGAAAATCCTTCTAAATTAAACTTTAAAAAAATATATAAAAAAAAATATTGAATGAAAATGGCGAAATCGCCTCACGAATTAGCCAGCGGTTCTAAATATTGTTGTCGGAACATTTTTTTTTTTTGTTCTTCCTAAATTTTATCTCTTAAAATACGGTTGTCATTTAAATACTTAATAACGTAATGAAATTTAAGAAATAAATATTTATTGACATCCTATATCATAAAATTAAAATACGTTACCCCCCCCCCCCC